TCCGTCAGTTTATTTTCAGATAATATTAGAAGGTCTTCTTTTCATAACAGTTATCGAAGACAGCTGCGGCAGAATGACAACTTTGGAATATTCACCGTGTTCCGTTCCCTTGGGTGGGCTAAGTCCAAGACTGTTTTCGCAGCTTCAATATCAATAATCCGCTTTTCCAGGTGTGAAAAGTGCTATTTGGTCGGACGGCGTATGCTTGCTCTCGAGAGCGCAATTGGCTCGTGGGTACGCTGGGTACGGTGTTTTCATTTACGAGCCAATTGCGCTCTAGAGAGCAAGCATACGCCGTCCGCCCAAATGACACTTTCACTTCTGGAAAAGCGGGTTATTGCTATCTTTTGAAGCTGCAAAGAACAGTCTTGGATTTAGCTCATCCAGGGGAACCGAGAACGATGAATATTTTAAAGATGTCGTTCTGTCGAGCCGCTGCCTTTGAAGCATAATTTTCATAAGTTAGCCACCGAGAACAAAGCTTTCAAAGATGGCGTTTCAAAATTTGTGATTTTGATTCTGCCAGAAACTTACTTACATTGCAAAAGTCTACAGGTCACTGTGGCAGGCTTCAATCTTGCACTGTGACGCGAAAGCAAAAAAATTTGGAAATGTCATTTAATCTCTTGATTACTGCACCTTTCCAGCCAAGACACTGTTTGGTGCTCAAAAAACGTATTCTAAATAAGCACTATGTCTAATTGAGCTGTGTTTCTGTGAAATTGCGATAAGGAGGCTTTTCCTATAATGACATTTCCACGGTTTTTTTGTTTTTGCGCCATCGTGCAAGATTGAAGCCTGGCAAAAGTTATAGACTTTTGGTGTGCAGGTAATTTTTACAAATTCTTTCGAGCTAGTTAGCGGCTTCCGCAGATTTTTGGCACCACTCAAACTCGCAAAATTAAACGCTTTTCTTGAAAGCTTCGTTCTCGATGACTAACTTATGAATGGTTACGCTTCAACATCTACCATGAAGAAAAAACCTTCTACTGTCTTTGAAAAATAAACTGAGAATTTAGGCTGAGTGTTTGGAAAGTTATCGAATTTTATTCGAATTACGCCCGAACTTTTGCATCAACTTAATAAATGAGAGCACGATGAGCGCAGTGAAAAAAAATTTTTGTCACAATTCTTTTGCTCGATTGACCTCGTAAAGCGATACTACACCGAAGAATCAGATAGAAAACGCACACTCAATTACTTGCGGCGCCCCTGCTGGAGCCTGGAGTAACTCTGTGTTCCAAAGCTAATCTCACATACTCGCGAAAAATGTCTTTTCAAAAGGACTGATACCCAAAAGTTCACTAACCGGTTCTTGCATGCCATCCAAGTGGCTAATACACATCGCGTCTCAAAAAAACAAAGTCGCTTAATATCTTTCCCTTGTCAAAGTGAGAGGGACCTACAGAAGTGATATATCAGAAATTGTGAAAGTTTGGAAATTGAACCAGAAGTTTCGTTCGTAAGTAGCTCAAAAGTACCAACTCACCAATCCTCTATGTTCCTGTACCCTAAGAATCAAAGCTGCGTATGCCTTGAACTTCAGGATAACCTCGACGCCATTTTCACGACGTGTATAACAGCCCTTGAGATCACGTATAAACCACTCTTCCCAAACCTTGGGGTTTTCTGACAAAGGAAGGAAGGTTGGTCGAAGTAGCCTTTCAAAATGAAATGTATACTATCTTGTAGAGCTTGGAACGCTGATTCCGAATCTGCCTTCGCTATTTGCTGCGAGATTCTGGTCAAGGAGTCCTATCTTAAAACTTTTGAAATATACATAGGACTCATGAACTCTCCTTCCTCACTGAGGAGTGGGAGAGTTCTGAGCTCCTTTACACCGTGTTCAAAAAAACTTTTCTCTCTTATTATGAAGGTTTTTGTGGGTAAAAAGTTGAATGCAAGATTACTGTAAAATCAGTCGTAACATTTTTTCTAGGGCTTATCTAATAATCGGGTCATTCGATGCAAAAAATATTCTTGATTCAAATATACCAACTCGCTGCTGCCTCATTTGAACGTAAGGAAAAGGTTACGACTGATTTTATACTAATCTTGCATTTTTGAGTTTTTACTCACAAAAACCTTTACAACTCCTCGCCCAGAAGCCCGCAGCAGATAGCAAAGGTAGTTTTGGAATCAGCGTTCTAAGCTCTACCGGACAGTTTAAATCTCGTTCTAAAAAACCACTTCGACCAACCTTCATCATATGGTGGGAAGTGAAGCGCCGAAACTGTCTGAAATTTTGATTTAGATAAGAATAAGCATACATAGGTCACTTACGCCAAGTATAACGAAAAGATGCATTATGGTCTTACGAATCTACCTCTTCTTACAGTGTATTTATACCAAAAAAGACTGTAGCGCAAAATTATGTCAGGTGGGATTATTATTGAATTTCTGTGATGTCAACTCGCACTTTAGCGCAAGGTTTTAGACATAGAAGAGCGATGCGAGAAACGAACAAAAAAGTCTGTATGGATGTTATGGAGCACAATCGAGTCATGCTGAACTCATAAGTGCGAATGCACTGATCATCCGTGACGCATATTTTTGTTTTGTGTGCTTGTCATTCTAAAAAATGTTCAAGAAAAAACAAGAAAAATACGCTAAACAGGCTCGTCTTAAATTTCAATACAGCCCTCTTCAAAAAGACATGAAGGCAAGAGAGTTATTAACGATCATACAGTGTGCACATTATTTTGGGATACGCTGTAGATTTTTGTCACCATACATAATGCTGCTTGGACCTGAAAGGTTCAAGTATCAGATGCATAGAGCTTTCCTCAGAAATGTAAGCGAGGAAAAAGACCAGTGAACTTCATTTTTCAAAGCTCGCCAAGAATATAAGTCTGCAAAAGAATCTGAAATGCTGATGCTTAGGTTTTACGACTTAGTTTGTCGAAAATGTAGGCACCATTAACCAAGACCGTTTGCAATAAGAATTGCAAAGTCACCTTCAACAAACTTGAACTATGACTCCAGTTTTCAAGTCAGCCCTTGCAGTGTTTCAGATTTACAAGAACATGATAAAATGACAAAAGGAGAATGATTCTACAATATGCCTGAATGATTCAAGTAAATCTGAAATACTACAAAGCAAAATATGGCAGAGCTTGACTGTGAAATGTTCTCCTTTTCGGAGCATAAAGCGCTGCGATGTATTTTTTATTCCGCATGCTTTAGTGTTTATGCATTGAATTGCGATGCCCTCATGAAATCAATCTTTGTTCCACCTTTATCTGGAAGATAGTTTGATAACGCACACAACTTGCACAAATTGTTGCCAATTCAAATATTCTCGGATAGATTTCTGTTGCCAAGCATGGCATAGAAGAAGTCCGCTCACATGACAAACGCGGCAAGAGCGTCTGCAAAAGTGTTAGCCGTAATTGAGTACATCCGAGCGCAAAAGCTTCACTGATATAAGTCAGTGCATATCACGACCAGAGGAAGTGGCTCGACAGGCTTGATACGGAGACTAGAGTTGCAGTAGTAGAGTTGCAAGACGCAGCACTGAGTTATTTGGCAAGCGCATCCTCAAATTCAGCGTTGGAAGAGTAAGGTGCTCTACGGAGGATTCCTGCTCCAATCCAAAAGTAATCGTTCCTGCGGGCGAATCTACGGTCCCTCGTTCTTTTAGCACGCGTAGATCTGGCCGGCATCTCTCTGCTCTACTCAATCGGAAAAACAATAAATCAATACACTGGATGGAAAAGGAAACCACCAGAAAGGATAGGAATTCAAAAAAGAAACACAAGAAAAGAGATAAGGTAATGCTACGCAGCCAAATCTCAAAAAGCAGAAACAAAAAATGAGGGAAACAGCAGGAGAAACGAAAAAATAGGATGGATAAACGCAGACAAAGAAAAAGCCAGCCGCACACGATGGACGACGCGACGAGAATTTTTCCAGAATTCACTAACGCTTCTATTTCTTTTCCAAGACAGTCTGCAGTTAGCTTTAAACGCACTATAATCTACAAGAACAATACTATCGAATAGTGCTTACTGGAATCTTTTCTGGACCTCCACACAAAAATTCGAGAAAACTGGAAACGAAATATCAAGGGTATGCAGTACATCAAAAGATTCGCCTTAGAGGTCTGAACAAAATGCTGCTTTCGGGTTTGGAATATACTTATTCCGAAGGAAGTTATGGCGTTGCGTATTCTGCGCTATTCCCATGATTCAGCGGATCCTGAAATGTCGCGATCTCCCCGGAATATCGCGAACTCTAACAGACATCCCGGAATTCCGCGAAGTTCACGGAAATTTTGCATATTCTGTGAGCGGTGTTGTAATCTTGAGCAGATTTTAAGCGAATTCGATCAGACTGACTCTCTACCAAGCTCCTACAGTATACTTTCTCGCGTCCTTAAAGACAAATCAATGGCAATACTGTTATCAGCAAACTAAACAATCCAACCAAACAAAAATCAAAATTGAGCGAAAACTTACTGTTTAGCGTATACCTATCATATCCCGCTAGATTGTGGCACTCTTATATACTAGATGATGCGTCTTGCCGAGCTGAATCGAATGGTGACCTTGAATTCAGAATTCATCCATTCTGAAGCAAGATATGGCGATGCGACGCGGATTCCGACGGATTCTAGTGAAGTGTGGCGCACTCTGCTGCACTCCGGCGGACTCTAGTGAAGTGTGGCGCACTCTGCCGCACTTCGCCTGAGTGCGCCGTAGTGCGGCGACTTTTTTGACGATTTATGAGCGGTATTGTAGATATTGCAGTATGACGCCCTCGCCCCAGTATGCGTGCAAAGTTGGTTACATAGAAAAATGAGTTTCCTTTAGTAAGATCATACGCACGACACACGCACACATACACACAAACAAACGCAGGCATTCTACTTCAAATAAGATATGTGTAAAGTTTGGTCCAAGTCGGTTCAGAATTGGAATTTCCTCTCGGAACACGCTCACAGACAAACATGTAGGACAAACATGATTGAACACAATCAACTTTATAATAAGGTTTAGACCCACTACGTGATAGTATTCTTCATCATATCTGCTACATCCAAAAACGATCTACAAATTGTGCAGAAAGAGCAAGAAGAGTATGACGATTTGATTGTCACAGACTTGCACGAAGCCTTCAAGAATTTACATCTCAAAGTAAGTTAATCTAAGCTTATTTTTCTTGAAACAACTTTGAAGGTCTACGCGTCTATGGTCTTCCATCAACAATACTGTCCATCGGCGCAATTTCTCATGAAAGTTGACGACGATGTCGCACTCAACCTTGATCGCATGGTTGATACATGGAAAAGAGACAATGAATCTATTCGCTCTATTTTCTGTCACGTTTGGAAAAAACCACATCCAAACAGAAACATCAACAGTAAATAGTAAGTTCTGAAAAAGCAAGATTGGCAGCAGTCTATATCATTATGAAAATAAGCAACCTAGTTTTCTTCCCAAAAAACAATCTTCGATGGTTTTACCTTGATGTGTGCCAAAAGGGCTCAATTTCTATTAAAGTTTACGCCAACTTTGTCATTGGTTAAGTTTACTTCAGCACCTCATTTCATCTTTGCCGCAAAGATCTACGAAAAAACTTTCCTCAGTGTGTGTCAAATTATGGCAATCACCAATCATGAGTCGATAAAAAGAGTTTCAACTTGGCCGAAGGGAGGGGGGGGGGGGTCTTTTAAAACAATTTTTCCTTTGTCACTGCCGGATTTTACAATTCCCTTGCGTCAGTTTCGTTCAATTAAGGGGCACTTTTCTTCTCAAAGACAATGTCCGGGGAAGCTCAGTTTCCAGGGACTATCCGCGAATGAGATTACATGTTAGAAGGTACGAAAACTGTAAGCACAGGCTTTTTGAAAGGCCTTTGTTCTCAATTTGGACAGTTTCCGCCAAAATTGATGCAGGGTCGCTGCGAGTCTGCGATTTTGAGTATGGTGTTGAAAGGGCAAGTTGGTCCTGCTTTGAGGTTCTGATATCAGTGTTGTTGCGGATTGACTTTGACATGTGCGAGGTCTGAGCAATTGCTCGTTTGTGCTAATATCTATAATTCTACGGGATTTATCATCCGCCATTTCGGAGAATGCGAACTTCCTCAAACTCTTTTTCGTCTGTTCAATGTTCTTTCTATTTTGTTCCATTATTTTTTGTTATTCGTATTTGATCCATTCATGATCGATTCGTAGGCGATGTCGTATTTTTGTGGCAAAGTCTAGGATTTCGTTTTGAAGAAATGAAAAAGCCACCTCATTTCGAGCCCTGGTATTGACACACCTGCATAAGCTTAATTTGAAACCATGTCCAGCATCTGCTGAACTTTCTTCAAAAAGTGTATATATTTTTGACATATATTGGACTACCCTGACTTATTAAAAACGTAGTTTAGGCGTGGTGGCTTACCGGCGTGACGCTTCATGTTAGTAAGCTCGTTTCTGCGAAGTCATTGGTTCGATAACACCCAAAAGTCCTCTGACACCAGCCCTATTCGGCTCCCTCCGAGAAGGGCATGCGACAGACGGGCTGATGGACACCGTCTCACCAAAAATCAGTTCTCAGCCAAAAACGCGGACCCTGCACAAGCGACAAAAAACCAAAAAGGAGTCAATAGATAGCTTACACCTTCTATGAAATAACAGTAGAAAAAGGAGCATGTCATTGTGCTTTAATGAGCTATTCTTAGCCTTCCCAAAACTTAAAGTCAATAATGTCACGGACAAGAACAAATTCAGTGTCATCATTTGAAGCCGCACTGATTATTGCATATTTAGAAAATCAAAAAAGGCTACATAGCTACGTACCATATGTTCTTTGTAAGCAGCAACCTATGCTTGTTTGAGCAATACCAGCCTTTTGTGCAACTTGTCTTCATTTGCTCTGTGCATTTACTTTTCAGTTACATTCCCAAAAATGTGTGGCCAAGCGAACATTACCCGCCTTTTTGCAGTGGTCCTATGTATATAATGGGTAGAGAGGCTAGTCAGCTCATCCTTGACTATGCTCCCTCATTTACGCCACTAGGTGGATTGGATGTAAGAGCGATAGGAAGACGTTTTGAACATGATAATTATTAACTTTTGACTCAGGACCCATTCTACACTGGTATTATTGCCGAAGAGGCAAAGATTCGAAGAGTTCATTGGGAAGCTAGCGTGACTTTGGATTTCCGGGTGAGTTTTTACTTAATTTGCTTAAACATACTGCTAATAAATTTTTGCAACAAATGGCCAGAAAGTCCGACCAGCAAAAGCAAGGCGTACCTCATCTCAGTCGCCTTAAAATGCTGATCTCAATATACTTTCTATCTGCTAAATTTTGTGGATGAGCCGTAAGGTTTAATAGAACTTGTGCAAGTCCCAATAAATAGAGTTCGTTGAAGAGCAGCCTAAAGGCATGCGTTTACACTGATTATGAGTATTCCAATTACAGAAAGCAGATAATGAACATAAGTTGAGAATCAGCTTTTCAATGCGAGTGCATGATATACAGCTTGTTTGGAATGGCCGGACCAACTTCTGGCTCAATCATTTGCTGGAAGTGAAGCCTTGAATTGCCAAAATTCAATACACAAGAAAGCTAACTATTCAGTAACTAAGAACTCTCTTCGATTTTATCATTACAGTCGGATATAAACACCGAGTTTACTAAGGCATTTTAATGTTTGTCTTATCACTGCAGTGACAAACTTCTTAATTTTGATCGAAATTTAGGTAAAGCAATGCAAGCTCTACAAGAGAGTATGTAGATTTTCGCATCAACTTCGGTCCATCTCATTTTGGAACCAAAATCTACTTACTTAGATACTTAGATGGTCCGTCCTCACGTGACGTGCAAGCCCCAGTACAGAAGTTGCCATTTTTCCCTGTCCCTCGCTTCAGACATCCATGATCTTCTTGGCCGTCGTCGGTGGCTGCGTCCACGAGTTCCAGGGGCGAAAGTCGTATCCAGCTGATTTCTCAGCTGGTCCATCCGTTCCACACACGTCTGCCCATCGTCGGTGGTCTTCCTCGAGGACGTTTGGCTCACCACTCAGATGTTCTTAGTGTCCATCTGTCGTCTGTTCTTCTCATTATGTGACCGGCCCATCGGTATTTGGCTTTCGCTAGGTATTCCGCTAAGTCACGAAGACGAGACATTCTTCTCATATCCGTGCTACGAAGTCCGACTAGATGTTACTTGCGTCGGGTCATCTTCAGAAGACTGCGCTCGAGCGCTCTGTGGGTGGTCCGTAAAGCTTTCGACGTGGCTGCAGTGTCGGCCCAAGTCTCAGCTGCGTAGCAGAGCGCTGAGAGAACGGTTGAGTCGAACAGGTGGGCACGAAGCTTCGGGTCCGTCAGTTGGTCGGTGGCTTCCTTCAGAGGCCCGAAGGCGGCCCAGGCTGTTCTTCTTCTCCTGTTAAGTTCTTCCCTCAAGTCGTTCTCCATGTTCATCGAATGTCCGAGATACACGTAAGAAGACGTCTCCGTGATAGGGGTGCCTTCCAGTTCCATTTCTGCAACTTCGCAAAGGGCGTTCTTCATGAACTGAGTCTTCTTCCGATTTATTCGCAATCCGATCTTCTTCCCTACTTCGTTCAGTTCCTTCAGCATCGTCTCGGCCTCACTGATACTGCTCGAGAAGAGAACGATGTCATCCGCAAAACGAAGGTTGGACAGGAATCTCCCATCAACTCGTATGCCTCTCTCGTCCCAGTCCAGTGACTTCATCACCCACTGCAAGGCCGCGGTGAACAGCTTCATCGAAATTATGTCGCCTTGTCGGACACCCTTCCCGATTGGAATGGTCAGGGGCGATGGAACAGCTGCATCGTTGTTGTACAGTCCTTTTAGCAGTTGGCTAGTGTCCTCACGTAGGCTGGCTCCACTCCTTGATCGACTAGCGCTGACAGGATGGCGTTGGTTTCGACGCTGTTGAAGGTTTTCTCGTAGTCGACGAAGGTTAGGACGAGAGGCAGTCGGTACTCCCGGCAGACTTCTATAACTCTCGAAACCGTCTGGATGTAGTCCATGCAAATCCCTAGAGGAATCCAGCTTGTTCTTGGGGTTGGGCTTCATCCAGTGTTCTAAATATGCGATAGGGATGATCTTCGTGAAAAGCGTACAGTACACTCAGCAGGCATATTGGACGGTAGTTCCGAAGATCCTCCCGTTCATCCTTCTTGAAAAGAAGGACGGTTCTTGACGTTCTCCACTGGTCGAGAATCCTCTCCTTCTGAAGGTAAACTGTCAGGTGCGACGCGAGAATCTCGTGGATCCGTTGTCCTCCGGCTCGCAGAAATTCGACGGGAAGATGGTGTGGTCCTGGAGCCGTGGATGTCATGGTCTGAATCACCGTGCGCACTTCAGCAGGTAGAATTCTGGTGGTACTTCTCCAGTGGGAACACAACGGGCATCGGCACGGGTGTTGATGAGCGGAAGAGGTTGGTATAGAAGTTTTTCGCGATAGATTCCATCTCGTATCGAGAAGAAGTCATAGTCCCGGCTTCGTTCAGTAGTGCAACCAGCGGTACGTGATATTCGCAGAGTTCCCCTCGGCACTTCTTAAAACTTCGTCTTCTTCCGGCTGCTTCCAGTATCTTGGCTTGCCTGTACTTTCTGAGATCCTCTTGCAAAGCTGTTCTGCAACTGGCGCTGGCTATCAGTCGCTCGAGATGGGTTGCATTCGGATCCTGCCTCAAAAATCTTCTTCTTTTGAGCAATTCCTTGGTGATCTTCGAAATTTTTCCAAGTTCTTCTCGGAAGTCACTGAGGCGCATTCTCCGCAGGCTCTTAATCCTTTTAGAATCCGGTCGTAGTCGTACGTTGGGACCTCCTCGATGGGCCAGTCACAACTTGATATGAGCTCTTCCAACCTATTACCGTCATAAACGACTTCCTTCCTTCTTGCGGCACTATGACAGACCTTCTTTTCCAGCCTTCGGCTGAGTCGTATCTTTGCTCGAAGGAGGCGGTGATTGGAGCCACTACAGAAGGATGGAACTACAGAGACATCGAGCAAGCTCCACCTTCAGTTGGTGAGAATGTGGTCGATCTCAGCATGAGTCGTTCCGTTGGGCGATTCCCGAGTCTACCGGCGATGTTCTTTCTTCATGAAGATGGAGTTTCCATGGAAGAGTCGTTCGGCGGAGAGAAGCCCAACGAGACGGTTGCCGTTTTTGTTTCGGAGCCCATATCCAAACTTCCCGATCCTATATTCCTTTTCTAGTGGCATCCCGATTTTGCATTGAAGTCGCCCACAACATACTTATAGAAGGACTTTTCGTTGCGGACGACCTCCTCCACGTCTTCGTAGGAGCATCTAAATCTGAGTCGTCAGCTGCTGATGTTGGCGAGTAGCAGTTGATGATGCTGATGGTCTTTTGACGTGGAGGGCATAGTCGTAGGATGCCTAGTCAAGGTGATAGAATCTCGTGCGAATCGATAAGATGGACGATAGATGGGTGGACGACAAAGCCGACGCCTCCACGTTTCGTGATGGAACCTTTTCACCACGAATGATGAGGGTCCCATCACTCATCTGTCGCACGTCCTTCTTTCTGGACTTCGTTTCCTGCAGAGCGATAATGTAGTAGTTGATGTGCTCTGCAGCGTCGAGAAGAGCGTGGAGGTCGGCGTTTGTGGAGACTGTCCTGGCGTTGTAGGTGCAGAGCATGAGGCAGTCTCCATGGCGTGTCGTCCGGGCAAACGTGTCGTTTTTGTCCAATCCGAAAGGCGCGCTGAGTACCCTGACATCGTTCTTGCTACCACCCGGCGCCATAGGCGGGATACGGTGTGCAGGGTTTCTTTCTAATCTTCTAACTGGAGGAGTAATATGAATTTTCCCCTACAAAAGGTGGCTTACTAGGCTACTCTTGATTTCCACGGGGCGATCGCTGACCCCGGGCTTGGAGCGGGGGGGGGGACCGCCTAGCGACCAGAAGAAGCCAGACGGCGGGGGATCTCGCGTGGCCGGTTCTTAGCTAGGCATCCGGCCGAAAACGGACGTCGAACTTCTTCACAGTTTGGGAGGCCCTACCAGAGTATACACTCGGCTGTGCATCGCAGTTCGACACCCAGTGTCACCCCACGCCACGATGAGGCGACCGACCATTGTGGGGGAGCCAAAATCTGAAGAACTGTAATGTCCAAAAAGGTGAAAAAAGGAATCTCGACTTTTTTGAGCGTCCAAACTTTTAGATTTCAGTTCATATGAGGTGATCAAAGCTGGTGCGAACTTTCACGTAACCTTATAGAGCTTGCTACTTTATCCAGTGGTATCTTCAAAATAACAGCGTATGGCAGACTTATAGCGTAAGAAAGACACGATCTAACAATACACATGTGTATGTATCCTTGACAGGGCTCGGCAAGAGCTGGCGCCAGGGAAATTTCGAAACGAAGTCCCGTTTGATCTTGTAAATTTCGTACGAAGTCCCCTTTGACCAGTTTTGATGACAAGTCATTATTTTTAAATTCTGTAAAAGTATGTAGTGGGGTTTTCATGCATGCTGATTTCATGCAACCACTTTTCACAAATTTCTGAGCTTTTTATGTGGTTGAATCACATCTTGAGAAGCAGAAAAAGCCGATTTTTCGATTGCGGAGCAGACTGAGTAATTTTAAAAGTGCTATAAAACGCTGAAAAGAACATCATGAAAATGTTTCTTCTCTGTATGTAAACTTTTACAGGATAGATACATTTTATGTAGAAAAGTTTGAAAACTTATGTGAGCAAAGTGTCGGTGCCAGCTAATTCAGAAAAACGTTCGGCACAGCTTTCATTCACACATAAGTTTTCATAAATTTTTGGGCTATAGTTCCGATCCACCAACGCGCATGCACACACCAAATTTGGTGTCATACTTGCATTTTGACTGAGAACGAGGCCTTTGTTTGTTGATGGACAGCATACCGGTGGCATGCCGGCGGCATTCTTGCGGCACCTCTCCGCCGCGGACCCCGAAAAAACGATATCCCCTTTGCTTCTCGCCTTAAAAACGATATCCAGCTTGACCCGGTGCCAGCTGTGCCGAGCCCTGATCCTTGAGCCTGAGTTTGTAACTTAATATGTGTAAGTGCACACTCTGCGCCACAAGGGACGGCAGCCTTGCTAGTAACTTTTCTGTAAAATTTCTTCTAGCTTAACAAACTGTGAAATTGTGTTCTACTTATTGAAATACATCCAACAAAAC